CTTATGCACCCATTTGTCTTTAGCGATCGTATCAGGGAGGTGAGCACACAATGATGTAAGTTTTTGTTCTTTGATGCCTGATAACCGATCCCTTTGGCACATTGTGATCATGCAGGCTGGTGTGCTTCTTCCATGTGGGCTTTGTTGCTTCTGAGCTAGATGACCGCTTATTTATCTTCAAGCCTTTAAGACCCCAGACGCTATATCCTCTGATAGTCAGGCAACATCAGCTTTCTTCACCATATTTGCTTATGCATCTGCTTTGTCTTCAACGATTGTGTCTGGAAGGTTAGCATCATAGACTGGATTTCATCTTGAATCCTCTTATTTGTATCTTTTAATGACCCTTTGCTTTCTTCATGAATGATGTTCTTGATGTCCTTCCACAGCTAATCAGGACTTATGTCATTAGTTTTCAATGATTCATATCTGTTCTTGAGATGTTCTCGAAATCCAAGTGGGATAGACTCAAGGTCCTATTTTGTTTTCATGTTCTTCAGCTTCAACCCGATCTTACATATGAGAAATTGATGGTCTGTTCCATAGTCAGCCCGTGGCCTGATTTTAGCTGATATTGAACTTCTCCAGCATCTTTTCCCACAGATGTAATCTGATTTCTGTGTATTCCATCTTGAGAAACCCCCCTCTACAGTCTCCTTTTGTGTTAGTGGAATCGTTTTTTACAATGAAGAAGTCAATGGCCTTGCAAAATTCTACCATGTAATCTCTGGCTTAGTTTTTACCACCAAACCCATATTTTCCAACTACTGTTCTTTCCTTTCTGTTTCAACTTTTGCATACTGATTGCATGTTTGATCAGTTTCTGACTAGAGTCTTTATGAGCTGATATAAAAGAAGCTATCAAATGATTGTTTGAGTATTCACTATTAAAATCAAACAAACCAATAACAACCAAAAAACTCAGTTGCCATTGAGTCAATTCTGATTTATAGCTTTCCTATATGATAAAGTAGAACTGTCCTGTGGACTTCCAATGCTGTAAGTCTTTACAGGAGTAAATACCTTCATCTTTCTCCAGTAGAATGATTGGTCGTTTTAAACTGCTGCCCTTGTACTTAGGAGTCCAATGTATTCTACTATGCCACCAGGACTCCTTGTACTTATATCCTTGCTGTGCCACATTTACAAAGGAATAAACTTAATCAATAATCTTAATCTAAATCTGGCTTTTGTACCTTATTAAAACGATGGCTTAAAACTACCACCTATCCATACTATTTTAGTAAGTACAAAATCCACAATAACATGGTTTTAAATGAGCATGTAGAGTGTTTATATGTAAAAGTATAATTATGAAATTGTTTTAATATGTCATAATTTTATAGAATCATTGGTTATCTAATTTCTTAATTTTTTACCCCCGTTATTGAAACAAACATATTTTATCTGTTTGTTTTTTTAAACAAACAAGTTTTATCTGTGATTAAAGGAGGTACATGTTTATTTTCTTAAATCTTAAATTATTTTTTTAAATGTTATGGGAAATGAGGTGTTGCGAATTTTTTTAGTTTTGTTGAGTATTAACAACAAAAGTCATGCAGTATTTTCAACTTGTATTTAAAAACTTGATAATGAATGCCACAAATGAATTTCCATTCCACTGAATCTCAAGCGCATTGATAATGTAACAATGTAATATTCTCTCTACAGGTTTTGTTGAAAACGACAGCTGGAGATATTGACATAGAGTTATGGTCTAAAGAAGCACCTAAAGCTTGCAGAAATTTTATTCAGCTTTGTTTGGAAGGTAACTATAACTCTTTTTTTATTTAGCAGGATATATTGTTGTTAATTTAACAATAAACTGCAGTGTATTTTTCACAGCACTGAAAAGATTTTATATTGATATGAGTGATATGATGTTGAGCTACATGTCAGGAAATTGGGAGAGAGGAAAACTATTTTCCAAATAATCTGTGTACTTTTAAACAAAACAATATATCTCATTAAGGAATACATTGACTTTTTGGTCTTCTTTACCAGCTTTTCTTTCTTTCTTTCTTTCATCCTCTATTATGAGCATTCCCCCAAATTACCTCTAGTTCCATATTCTCTTCACTGTTCAGTTTTTCATTTCATCTCAATAAACTTCAACCGTATTTCTTCTCTTCCTAGTTCTAATTTTACATTTCTAATTCTCTAATGAACATTTGTATGCACTCAAACCCACGACAGTCAGGACCAAGTACTAGTTGCTGTCGAGTCAGTTCTGACCCATATTGACCCCATGTGATACAGAGTAGAACTCCATAGAATTTTCCTGTTTAGAGCTTGATGGAAGCAGATTGCAAGACCATTGTTCCAAGGCACCTCACCAGGCTGTGTGTGGGGTGTGTTTGTGTGTGTGTGTGTGTGTGTGTGTGTGTGTGTGTTTCAAACTGCCAGTGTTTCTCTCAGTAGCTGAGCACTTAAATTTTACCACCCAAGGACTTCAAGCTCTAACTAAACTAGAAAAAACCCCAAACCTAATCAATTTATTTCCCAGACTCCTTCCATCTGTATGACAGCAGTTACCTCCTACCTTGTCTTCCTCTCATTATTAGTCATTATACCTTCTTATATATTCATTAGTTATCTCTGTGCCCTCTTGTGTATAACAGTTTGGGATTTGACCCCATACACAGCTTGACGTCCCACATTTCTCACTGTATATCTCATTGCACCCACCACATGCTTTCAACTGACCATTATTTTGACTTCTTCGCAGTTCTTCCCTGTCCACTTTCACGCATAGCCGCATACAGTTCTCCTTTCTGGAATGCTCTCTCCTTTCTTTACTCTTCAAGTCTTTCCCAGTTTTTGATGTCTGCTTAAAGTGGAACTCTCTCCACAAAGCCTTCTATCCAGCCTTCAGGGATATTATTACCTATAGCATATATATGTGCATGTGTGTATACATAAGTATATGTACATATATGTGTATACCTACACATACATATATAAATGTATGTATAAATATATATGCACATCATACACACATATATGTCTGTACATATTTACATTTGGATTCTCTTAGTGACTATTTTTGAAAATTTTACAGAATTATATGTTCGCCTGTATGTTTTCTCCTTCAGAATATTCTCTTATGGAAATTAAACATTACACACTTTTTTGGAGCTTGTTTTTGAGTTTTTGAATGCATTGCACCTAGTTTTGAATATCATCAGGAGTGGCAACTCATTGTCATTCAGATTTATAAAGGAATAATCTGGGTTTTGTATTTACCATAATAGTATGACTTAAAAGTTGCCACCTCTATAGCCATACCATTTTAGTAAGTACAAACCCAGAAATCAATTAAGGACGTTCATTTGTAAATTAGAAATAGTTTGGTATGTAGAGAATATTTGTTAGATTCTGCCAGACAAAATTATTCAGTCTTATGAAATGGTATTTTGCCATAGAGGCAAGCTGTGAAAGATTTAAAAGCAACCAGTAGTAGCGTATAGTAAAAGATTTCCAAATAGACAATTATAATAAATACAAGGCTTCCACACCAAGCCCCCTGCCGTTGTGTTAATTCTAACTCAAGCCGACTGTTTATTAGGCTTCCTAAGCCACAAATCTTCCGTTTATTAGGCTTCCTAAGCCACAAATCTTCACAGGAGCAGCAGCCTCAGCCTTCTCCCCAGACCTGGTGGTTAGCAGCCCAATGCTTATCTAACAGCATCACCGGGACTCCTTAATAAATACCAAAGGTCTTCAAAAATTCCATTTTATTTGTATTCTAGTTTCCACAAATCTTTGTATTCCAGTTTCCACAAGCCCTTTACTAAAATTATGAAGGGAAGGTTCAAAGAATAAAAAAGCACTTAGACTCCCCCTGCCAAAAATAAGGCCTCAAAAAGAAAACAGACAAGACATCTGCAAACACTATTATTAATAATTGCTATAGCAGGCAGGATGGAAATAGAGCCAGACAGATCGTTCTGACAAAGATTCCTCATATAGCTGTTAACAGAGCTGAGAATCACAGGAGACACAGGAAAGCCAGACTTGTTTTTGGAAAGAAATTTTAAAGAATGAGAAGCTCAAAGTTTGCAAAGTGAAAGTTCATAAACATTAGAAAGACTGAATTGTAAATTGCAATCTATAACCAGGTGAATGGAAGGACCAATATAACAATGGATCTGGATACAATATAACAATGGAAAATAAATGTTCTTAAACAATGTTGAAATTCAGTGACAAAATATGTGTATCTCCGTTTTGAAGAAGAACCATCGGAGTGCACAATTCAGTGGCATTTTGTACATTCACAGTATTATACAACCATCCCTTCTCTGGTTCCAAACATTTTCATCACCCAAGGAAAACTCTATGCCCATTAAGTAATCACTCTTTGTCTCTTTTTGTCTTAACCCTTGGCAACCCCTGTGGATTTAACTATTCTAAATAGATTGCATCTTTCACTTTACATAATGTTTTTTAAAGCTCATCTATCTTGAAACATGTATCAGTACTTCATTTCTGCTTTTTTATGACTGAGTAATGTTTCATTTTATGGATATACCACATTTGGTGTATTTGTTCATCCCATCATAGACATAGTTTGCTTCCCCATTTGGACTTTTGTTGTTGTTGTTACTGAATAGTGTTGCAGTGGTCAGTCATATGTCAGTATTTGCTTGAATACTTGCTTTTAATTTGTTTGGGTACATGCCTAGAAATGGAATTGCTAGATTATGTAACAATTCTATGTTTAATTTTTTTGAGGGATCTCTAAACCATTCACGCCCAAACTTTTTTAGCCTACCATTCCCTTTAAGAAAAATGCTCAGCACTTCCCCTGGCAATGAAAATTATACTATAGCCCAAGGTAAAGCTTTTGCAGCCCCTGCTGAGTGGTTTTGGCATCCCTTAGGAGGCAGTATCCCCAACTTTTGGAAACTGCTATAAAATGGACCATTTTTCATTCCCCCCAGTAATGTATGTCAGTTTTCATATGAATTTCCCTAGTGACTAATGATATTGAGCATCTTTTCATGTGCATATTGGCTATAATTGCTACTTTTTAAAATAAAAATTTTTTATCTAGTGAAGCTGTGATTTTTGTGCTTCCACTTCTACTAAATTCTTTGCTCTTACTTTACTTCTTAAAATGTCATGTTTTTACCATACCCAAATAACTTTGTTTTGCTTCCTGCAGTCTCCTGATGTTCTGGGTTTCAGGAGATTGTCTATGGCGTCTAATGTATGTTCACAAGTCCCATATTATACACTTATCTATATATATTAGTTATTTTTCCAACCCTTTAGCAAACAGTATCTAATTGAACTCAGTTGTATATTGTTTTATTATTTATTAGTTGTGTCTTGAGAGTGTGCAGATGTGCAAGATATATGAGGGTAAGTCAAAGTGTTTTGCTACTAGGATTCCAGTTCAACCTGTATAGGTTTCTTCCAAATGAAACATGTTTAAATATGTGTTGGTGATCAGTGGATGGCTCCAGGCAGGTTCTTTCAGTAATACACTTGTCTTATTCTTCTTAAAAACAAAACAAGCAAACTCACTGCCATTGAGTCAGTTCTGACTTAGAGTCACCCTATAGAACAGGGTAGTCTGTACCTTTTGGGTTTCTGAGAACTATCCTATGGATTATAGAATGTTGAGCAGTAACCCTTACCTCTACCCATTAGGTGCCAATAGCATCCCCCAGTTGTGATCACCAAAAATGTTTCCAGATATTTCCTGGGGGACAAAATTGTTCTTATCCTTCCAGTTGAGACAACTGATCTATAGCTAAACTCGATATTTAATTTTGAAAACTGGATTCCAGAGTTTGAAATCATCATGGAAATAATAAGTAACAACAATACCGGCTTCTATAGGAGAAATATGTGCTATTTTGAGTAAATCTAGTAAGGAAGAAAAGATTTGAGTTTGGAAATTGTTAACATTCTGGAAAATAAAAATCTTGTACCCCTGGTTGTATTAACTCTGATTACTATAAACATTAAGCAATTCTTTTTTTAAATTCTTTTTCAGCTTATTATGACAACACCATTTTTCATAGAGTAGTACCTGGCTTTATAGTCCAAGGAGGAGACCCTACCGGCACAGGAACCGGTGGTGATTCTATCTATGGAGCCCCGTTTAAGGTGAGGTTGAATAATGGTTCATTTGCAATTAAACTTTGACAGCTTATCAAAAGTTATTGTATGACACAGAAGAAAGAAAACAATTCAGAGTACTATGTACAAAAGCGGATTCCTGACACATCCGTGGGATTATACAGAAATAAGAGCAATGCTTTACTCATCAAGCAGTTTTCTCTGAGTTGTCTCAAGCTAGGCTCCTGTGCTAGGTTGAATTCAGATGGAGATAAAGATGTTCACGAGGAAAAGGTTAGAGAAGAGTATAAGATATGTTTGCCTGTGTCTGACTCTCTGAACTCTATGGATAGGAAGGTATGTTTTCACAACTTTACATATGCTAATTTATTTTAAAGCACCTTATGTAAATAAGGCATCTAATTCATTTTAAAAAAAACACTAGCACAAAATGCATGCTGGAATAGGTACAAGAACAGAAGGAGGAAACTTTTTTTTAAAAAGTCAGTAAAAGCTGCATTAATCAAAAATATCTATGATTTCCTATCTCCCAACATATACTGTATGTACTTGCGTATAAGCCGAGTTTTTTCAGCACAATTTTAATGCAGTTTTTGTGGTAAAATTAGGTGCCTCGGCTGATATTTGGGTTGGCTTATACTTGAGTATATACGGTAACTAAGAAGAAAATGAGCTAATGTGGATAATATGGTTAGAATAAGAGAGGGTTCAAGTAAAAGCTAAAAGCTACACTTTTATGAATTTGATGGCATGTTCTTTGAATGAGGAAACATCAGTGTTTTTAAAATATAGGAGTTTTGAAGGCTTTGTGTTTATACTAATTGTTTATACTAATTTATACTAATTTGTGTCTAGCATATCCTTTTATGTTTTCCTGGGTCATGGTGTGATTGGTAAGAAAGATATTTCACTTACATGCTTTAATTTCCAGATGATAATGGCCTTAGAAAATGTGGAATGACTTTTAAAATCTCAGCTGTCATAGTTAGTGACGCTGTTTTATATCCTTCCAGGATGAGGTATATCATGACTTTAGAGCTTTTGTCTAGTAGGAAACATTCCTGGATTCTATCCTATGGTGTAACAGAGAAATCTCTTAGATAATTCCAACCTAATGAAATTTTTTGCTTTAGTACTTTAGGATTATATAGTTATTTTGTAAAGCATTAAAATTAGGTCATTTCTAATTAAACATAATGTAACCATTTCCAGACAGTTATGATTCTTTGAGTATAGATCTCTTGAGAATCATTTGCTAATGACAACTCCCTTTAAGAAATGAACTGGTGACAGAAGATGACTGTATTAGAGGTCAGTCCAGTTTCAGGTGTGGATAGAAATTCTGTTAAGACTAAAAGACTAGAGAATATGTTATGTAGCCCTTTCATATCCAGAAAGAAAACAAAAACAAAAAAACAAAATAACAAAGCCTATTGTTATTGGGTTAAATCTGACTCATAGCTGCTTTTTAGGGTAGAGTCGAGCTGCCCCATAGAGTTCCCAAGGCTTAAGTCTTTCAGGAAGCAGATTGCTGCATCTTTTGCGTGTGGTGTGGCTAAGGCTTCAAACTACTGATCTTTTGGCTGGTGATTGAGCATTTAGCCCTTGTGCACCAAAACTCCCATGATAAGAAAACCACTGTGGAAAGGTTTACTTCTGCTCTTTTGAGAGTTGGCAAATGGGAGCCGTGTTGGTTCAGAGAAGATTCCACTTAGGACTTTAAGAAACAAATGTGATTACATAATATTGCCACAGTAGATTGCGTAAATTAAAATGCAAGATAAGTACAATTGTTTATGGAAATATAAATTGGAGGCAGGAAGGGGCAATAGTTCAAGATAACCACAAATAATGGAAGGTTCTGAAACCTGAGATGACCTTGAGGGATATGAAGAACAAAGAAATAATACTTAGAAAGCCATTCCCTCTTGTGTGGGTCGGCAGCTTTCCACAAAACAGGATAAATTAAAAATATTCAAATATAGAGCATATATAAAGACTAGTTAAATCAAGTGGAATGGCATTGATAGGATTATGAATATTGGATTTGCTTACACGTGAAGAACAGCTAAAGAACAGTATTTCAGTTTTAATGAAGTTGTTTGGGACCGTGCTGGTCAGTTGAATGACTGATGAAATATGAACAGTGTTAGTGTAATGGAGGTTATTCACTAAAGCTTTTCTTTTCTATGCCTCAGGATGAATTTCACTCTCGGCTGCGTTTTAATCGGAGAGGACTGGTTGCCATGGCAAATGCTGGTCCTCATGATAATGGCAGCCAGTTTTTCTTTACATTGGGTCGAGCAGATGAACTTAACAATAAGCACACCATCTTTGGAAAGGTCAGTGTGTAGTTATCTTCAACTGTGATTTGGTTTATTACCTTATTCTTCAAGCTTTTATGATCTACACTTGATCAATGTATCTTAAGGACTGCCTTCATAAAAATATGCCCTAAAATATTTATCATTTTACAAAGTGATAGAATGAGTCATGAGTTCTTTTAAATGTAAAGTCAAAATTGTGTTGATAATGAAAATTTTTACTGGAAATACATTGAATAAAAATCAGAATGCAAACCAGTTAAGTTGATCCTGACTCAGTGAGTTGCATGAGTTTTACGGTAGGGGATTTTCATGCTGTTAACATTTAATGCCCTATCAAGTAAAGTTCTTTCTAGAATTTTAAATATTACTAAAAAGGGAGTCATTCTTTACCCTTCCCCAAATACGGTTTCATGTATTTTAAGTATTTGCCATGTTATACTTGATTAGTGTATTAGCTCCCTCTGCTGGCTCAACAATAATGATTTCCCCGTAGTGTAAGCAACTTGGATTTTGTGGTGATGGAAGGGAAAGAAATAAGATTAGCCTAACTTGAAAATTGCTGCTTTTTAAAAAAACTCTTGACAATTGCGTCAAATATGACTCATAAGCACCCTATTGGACTGGGTAGAACTACCCCTGTACGTTTCAGAGACCAACGATTTATGGGAATAGAAAGCCTTATCTTTCTCCTGCAGTTAGGATGGCAGTATTGTTGCTTACTACTTAACATGGGTTAAGAAATCTACATTGGCACATTCTTCCTAGATATCCTACCATAGACAATCTGATGTTCATAGAAATTTTCATATAATTAAAAAAAAAAGAAGTACATATATTATAAATTGGTGCCATTGGGTATCATTTTTAAGTAATTGATACTGCATAACCTGCACATTCGAGACAAAGTATACCATTGTTGTTACAAGTCAGAAGGGATGCCAATGTTGACTCTGTATATTTGATATTTTCTTATCTATAGAAGAAGGATGATGATGGTAGCTAATTTTATGATGCTTGAGAGGATTAAATTGAGATGAAGTCTGCAAAGCCCTTACTAGACTATTATTTTTATTTGATTTTTCTGTCCTAAAGTCTAAATTTTGTATGGTACTCGAAGACAGAGTTGTCACTCAGTAGGATACATTTTTATTTTTAATAAAAACCCAAACCAAAACTCACTCCCATCAAGTCGATGACGACTTATAGTGACCCTGTGGGACAGAATAGAGCTACCCCTGAGCTTCTGACACTGTAGCTGTTATGGGAGTAGAAAACCTTGTCTTTCTCCTCTGAAGGAGCTGGTAGTTTCAAACTGCTGACCATTCAGATCACAGCCCAACATGTAACCACTGTACCACCAGGGCTCCTTTTGAAATAAAAGCTGCTGTGAAATATATATTGGACATTTTCTAAAGTTCATTGAATGCTTGAATTCCAGCCATACTTTTTCCCCCTTAACAAGAAATTGCTTTCTTTGTATTATTAAAGGCATATACCAGTGCTCTTTAAAAAAAACCACATAATTTTATTGGGGGCTCTTATAGGTCTTATAACCTTCCATACATCTTACAGCTCTTATAACATTCTATCCATCAATTGTATCAAGCATATTTGTAGATATGTTGCCATCATCATTTCCAAAACATTTTCTACTTGAGCCCTTGGTATAAGCTCCTCTTTTTTCCCCTCTCTCCCTCACCTTCCTACCCTTGTGAATCCTTGATCAATTATATATTGTTAGTATTATTTCATATCTTACATTGTCCATTGTCTCCCTGTACCCACATTTCTGTTATTTGTTTGCTTAGGTTTGGGGGGCTATATATCCAACCTTGTGATGGGTTCCCCTTTTCTCCCCCTTCCCCCTCACTGATAATTCCCCTTATAATATTGCTACTCCCAATACTGTTCCTGAAGGGTTTATCTATCCTGAATTCCATGTGTCCGAGAACTCTTATCTGTATGAATGTGTATTCTCCGGTCTAGCCAGATTTGTAAAGTAGAACTGGGTCATGGTATTCAGGGGAGGAAGCAATCAAGAACTAGAGGAATGATTGTGATTTGTTGGTGCTATATTTCACCTTGGTTGAATCATCCCTTCCTTATACCCCTTCTGTGGGAGGATATCCAATTTTCTACAGATAGGCTTTGGGTCTCCACTCCAAACTCCTTTGTTCTCATCAATAGAGTTATTTGTTTTGGATCCTTTGATACCTGATACCTGATCCTATCAACACATTCATGATCACACAGGCTGGTGTGTTTCTTCCATGTGGGCTTATTTGCTTCCCTGCTGGATGGTTGCTTGTTTAACTTCAAGTCTTTAAGGCCTCAGATGCTATATCTTTTGACAGCTGGGCACCATCTACTCTCTTCACCACATTTACTTAGCACGCATTTCATCTTCAGCGATCATGAAAAGGAATATACTCTTATAGAATGATGTTATATTCTTCTTTAGTTATTTAAAGATATTAACAATTTTTTTCTCAATTAAAAAAATGAATGCCATACTACCTGCAATGTTCTTTCTCTTGTAATAGGTGACAGGGGATACAGTATATAACATGCTCCGATTGACAGAAGTAGACATTGATGATGAAGAAAGACCACGTAATCCACACAAAATAAAAAGTTGTGAGGTAGGAGCATTATTGTTATGAAATGCAGCACTTAAAGGGTCACTTAAGGCGGATGGTTATTATGAAGGGTTTCCAAAAATTTGTGGAAAATTTCACTATCTTTCAATTGCAATTTGTCCACGAACTTTTTGAAGTCCTCTTGGGTTTTTAAACTATTGAATAGAGACTTTATTTATACAAATCAATAGTATAACTTACAGTTTGTCTTTGTAACTTATTCAGCCACTTCTGTGTAGGTTTTTTTATTTTATTTTTTTCAGAGTAGTGGATTTAAAGGTGAGCCTTGAGCTGATAATCCAATGAACAAAAGTGGAAAAGTAGAAGCATTAGGTTCCTATAGCCTAGGCGACTGGGGATGGCTAATTTATAGTAAACCTTCCTTGAGGAGGACTGGTCTTTGAGAGCATTTGATCTTCAGTCAAAACTCCAGAGTTTATTCCTCTTACTGTATGTCATTTAATTTTTATTGAATATCTTCTCCTTTTATTAAATGGGATAAAATCTTTCTTACTTAGTGCCATGTAAGATTAATGAGGAAATGCAATGAGGGTTTGTAAGTTAAATACTTTATGCAGTAAATTTATATATTACACAAACAATGGTTATGTGGGGCAATGTATACCCTAATATCATGAAGGTTTTCATGAAATTTTAAAAAGTGGAATAATATTTTAAAAATATTTCTTTTTTTAGGTTTTATTTAATCCTTTTGATGACATCATTCCAAGGGAAATAAAAAAGCTGAAGAAAGAGAAGCCAGAGGAAGAAGTAAAGAAATTAAAACCCAAAGGCACAAAGTAATTAGAGTTGAGAGACTTTGCTTTAGCTTCAAAAGCAACACTAAATTATTTAGTTCACTTGATTTCCATGCATACCCATCGTTTACGAATGAGGGAAAGCCAGTTAGAACCAACAGAATATATGAATTGAGTATTTTCTTCTAAATGAGTTTTTTTTTTGCATTCAAGCTATAAAAAATATTGTCTCTGAAGTCCTTAAGAAATCTGTGTTAAGTATGCATTTTGTATCTTCAATACCAAATATTTATATAGCTGGGTTATTAAAAATCCTTTTTGTTTGTTTTGAAATTAGTGTATGATCAGTATGAATAACATGGAAAGTAAGATATAAAGGATATTTTTAATAACTGCATATTATGTCATTTGTTTTATATAATTTATTTACTTTTTCATCACCTTTTTGTTGCTTTTAAGAAGCCTTGATGGTGCTTTGGGTTAGGTGTGAAGTTGCAAGGCAAAGTTGCTGGTTCACACCACCAGCTCTCCCTGAGAGAAAGCTGCCTGCTTCTGTAAAGGGTCACACTTTCCGAAACCCTGTACAGGTGACTGTGAGTGGTAACTGACTCTATTGCAGTATTTGGTTTCATTTCTATTAAAAAGTCCCTTATTATAAATGTACTCATATATAAAATGTTTCTGTATTTTATCTCCTAAGGAGAGCTTCTTAAAAGTAGAAAATTGAAAAAATAAGTTTCAATATTTTATAGATCATATCCTTCCATTATTTTTTCTATTAAAATTGTAGT